TAAAATGTATTAATTTATTTTTGAATTTAAGTATAGTTGGCATACAATATTATATTAGTTTCAGTTGTATAATAGTGATTAAACCTTACAATGTGATCACCACACTATAGTCTAGTAACCATATGTCACTGCAAATTTTTCACCGTAATATTGAGTATATTCTCTTTCACCTTTGAATAAAATAATGAGTGGGTGATTTTATTTTTTTAACCATTGTTCTCTAGTGATCTTCCCACTGCCACTTCCCCATTTCCCTTCTTGCTTAGGGTGAGGATATGATTCTGTCCTCTTAACCTTTTTGTTGGGTTCTCTGGTGAGGCTGGACACACTAAGGAGGCTTCTTCTGACTCAGTGGGAGGTCCCAGGCTCTGCTCTGATGCTGCAAGAATCCCTGTGATCCCTGCCTGGTAGCCCATTGCTTCCCCTGTCTGAAACATCATTTATTTGCACCATTAGTTCCAGGGATAGAGGAAGTACATTTATGGAAAATCAAGTTGCTTTGTCAATTCCAGCAGAAAGATGATGGAGCTCTTTAAATGGAGGGTCTCCTGGCTTGATGTCAGAACTCAGTTTTTTTCTCTTTTGAGGTAAGACTGAATTGGCTATCAGAACCACTGTTCCCTCCACCCCCTACCCGCGCTCACTGTCTGGAGTCTACAGCAGAGTTAGAGGGGATCCTCGCTGAGGGAGGTGATGAGGCCTTCTTTAAGGAGGCACTATGTTCCTGCTCTCTGTCCTTTTGTTCCTACATCCACTGGGCACTTTTCTTCTTTATTCCTGGAGGAAGGCAATATGCCATGCACTGCACACTCTGGGGATACACCTCAAAGGACATACTGCCCACCTTTAAGGAATGTGAAAAACAGATGCACCTGAAAATAGTGACAGTGAAAGTAACATGTTCAAGGAACAATGGGAAATCAGCCTCGAACCTCAGGAAATGTTCATATTGTATGAAATAAAATGTAAAGAATAGGTACACGTTTTCTGGTCAAACAAGCAGTCCTTAGGCATTTCTGGGAATCAGCAGAGAAATACCAACATATAAGAAGAGGGTAAAAGAAGAAAAGGACTTAGTAATGAAATAGAAGCCACAGATAAAGCAGTTTTGAAAAGGAAGGAGAAATTGGAAGTGTCAAATTTTAGAGAGAAATCAGAAAAGATAAGGAAATCAAATACCTGCTGGTTTTAGGAAATGATAAATCATTGTGGGCTTTGGTGATAACAGTGCTGTGGACGAGTAGGGGCGGGAATTGTTAAGAAGCCAGGGGAGTGTATTAGTTTTCCATTGTTGCATAGCAGATCACCAAAGTTTAGTGGCTTAAAAAATATGTTTATATATTTTCTCTGCTACTTTGATCTCTAACCTTTCTATTCACTTTTAAAGCACTCACTTGCTTAGGTCATACCCGTACTGGACAATCTCCTTTTTGATTAACTTAAAGTCACCTGATTAGGGAACTTTAATTACATCTGCAAAATTCCTTCACTTTAGCTTCCACCCATACTCAAGAAGAGGGGATTATCCAGGAGTCGGTTTCTGGGTAGTTACTTTTGGGTATGTTGGCCACGAAAAGGAAATAAATACAGTGATTATATGATTTGGATGTAATTACTGAGAGAACAACATGGGCATGTAACTGTGGGAAAGACAGGATCCACAAAGACCTTGGTGTACATGCATGCACACATTTTCAGTTACCTTTTTCTACTTAACAAACCATGGCAAAATTTAGTGTTTTTACACACAACCTCTATTTAGCTCACAAATCTGCCAATCAGCCATTGGTCCAGGTTCAGCTGGGTGGCTCTGCAGGACCGGCTCAGGCTCACCTGATATTTGCTATGGTTCACTTATGTGTCTGTGATTAGCTGCTGGTTGGTTGGTAGGTGGTTAGCTGTCGGGGGGGCTGGTTCGCTGAGAGGTGGTTTTGCATTTTCCAATAGACTAGCCTGGGCTCATTCACATTATGGCATTGTTCTGCACTCAGCAAGCCAGTAAATTCTAGTGCACAGTGCTTTTCTAACCACTGCTCCTTGTATCACATTTGCTAAGGTTCCAATGGCCAAAACAAATTATATGGCCAGTTGAGATTGAGGAAAAGGACTTTGCCTTTTTAATATAAAGACTAGAGAGTGGTAGAAATTTTTACAGTTCACTACATGATATTTATTATTATGTTTTTAAAGGTTAGGAGGATTCTGCTTTATATTTCTGTTATAATGAGAGAGCTAGTAAGAAAGAAAAACGGATGAGTACATAGCATATGAGTGATGAAATGGGGTCCCTAAGAAGGGAGGATCTGCTGTGATTCAGAGCACGTAGAGAAAATTTACCTTTAAAAAAGTGAAAGTCACACAGATCTAAACTAATTGGATTTTTCTGGTAATCTCAGTTTCCTTGGAGAAAAAAACTCTCAGTTTTTGAAAACAATGAGGGAATAGTAGGAAAAGGGTGTGTGGTGAGTGATAACTTTTTAGATCTGCTATCAGAACAGGAGAGAAAAGCTGAGGTACGTACCAACAAAAGAAAACTTAAAAAAAAAGCAACCAACAAAAATGCTGAACTGTACAAGGCCCAGCTGAGACTATAGACCTTAAATTTATGATGATACCAGTCCACAGCGTGTCATCTGTACTCTGTGTGAATTAGAGAATGGTGCTCCTTCTGCTTGGGTACAAGGAAGTTCAGCCCCACTCTCAGCTGGAACCCTTGTGCAGAACCAGTTTGTAAATTAAGTTCAGCAGCCCTGCCAGTCAACAGGGTAGTGTTACTTTTTTTTAGTAGCAGCTTTAAATAGACTAGGTCAAGGGAACATAATGGTAGGAATGATTTAAGAATGAAGATTTGCCAAGTGGGTTGGTAAAAAAACAGGATGGCTAGAATGTTGACAATACTGACAAGGAAGTTGAGATTGAACAAAGTGTTACTAAAATCTAAAAGCACAAAATAGCAGGGAATGGGGGGAGGTGAGACTGGATAGCAAGAGAGGGGTCTGTCATGAAGGAAAGATCTTTAGTTCATGGTAGACACAGAGAAATTATTGATGACATCTTTTGCACAGGTATACTTTGATCAGATTGTAAAAGATCAATCTGATGATAGTTTGAACCAGAAATAGTATTGAAATGTTCAGACAAGAAAGGCTGAGAATCTGCCCAGTGACATTATGAGTGTCCATCATTGAGAAGAGGACTGATCCACAGGTAAGTTTAGAAGGCCAAGCTGCCATACTGTCATGACTGTGAGAACAGAGGGTCTTCTAGAGTTTCTGCCTTGCAGGGCTGTGCTGATTCAGGAAGAAAAACACAACTAGACAGGACCAACATCTGGTGCTGTCCAAATCTTGTGACCTACTCAGATCATTGGGTAGCAGATCAATCATTTTAGCTTTTATTCAGATGTTTGGAATCTCATAGACACATTTGGGGAAAAAAGGAATATATACAAGAAGAGTTTATTTAGGCTGACTAAAATTACAAGGCAGCTCTGCTTTTGAGATTGGTTGTTAAAATAACTGATAACTTCTGTTATACAAGATCTAAGGGTGGACTTAGGGTTAAGAGTATCCACTTGATGACAGCAGAACATTGCAAGTATCCTCAGATACTGAGATTATTGTGAATGTTAAGATAGTCTTTTCAGGAAAAGAGAACTTTGAGAATGATTTTGGAGGAGCTGTGTGGTAAGGGGGGCTCAAGGAATCAGAGGAGGGCTTGGGACTGGAGAACGCAGTTGAGTAGCTCTGAAAGGTGTTTGAAGCAAAAGAATCAACAAAGATCAGGCTAGAAATATATAGTGGAGAAGAAGGAGAACAGGTTTGAGGGAGAAGAATCTAGAGCATCAGTAACAAATAGCACGAGGGGTTATTAGTAGGAAAGAATGAATGGATGGAAATAATTTATAGATATCAATAGAGAAAAAAGGGATTTATAGGGAAGAGCTAAAAAAATGTCTGGGCCACTTGACTGAGCACTTGACAAGTATCCATTTTTTCTTTCTGCATAAAATTATTCATGACTTTAGATCTTCTTTTTAAAAAGTTATTAATAAGAGGAACTCAGGACAATGAATGTTTTTTATTAAAAAATGTATTCTTCACTCCTGGGAATTATATAAAAATATGGTGGCACATTTTTATATTAGTGTAAATTAGAATAACATCAGGATATATTTGCAAATTAGAAATGAATATATTACAAATACTTATTAATACATTGAAAAGGAAAATTTAAAAACATGTAGATTAATATAAACATAACATTCTTAGACTTTTCAGTTATTCTCTTATAAGTCCTTCAATAGAATATATATTCCTTTCAATACAACCAAGTCATTTATTTTGTGTTCATTTTGGCAAGTAATAAGGGAAAATATTTTCTGTAAACTTAAATTCCCTCTCTGTTTTGGATTTTGCTTTCACTCTCTCATTGTGTATCATTGTTGTTGATGTTTTGTGCTGCATCTTTTGAGTTCCGGGCATTTTTATTTTCACAATATGTAGGAATAGTCTAAGTTTTTAGAATTGCAAACTTTGAAGCATGCTAAATTGTTTAAAGGATTGTATTAATTATTATATTATGGTTTATATAATTCCGATAGAAAATTTATTTCCTTTTCCAGGTGAATTTTGAAATTTATATTGATGATGGTTTAAATCTTCTCAAATGACACAATTCCAAGTTAAGATAATTCTTTCAGATTTTGTCAATGAATTATTTTCTAAATGGAAATTTGTGAATACAATTTAATATTGATGCTTATCCTAGGGAATAAATGTGCTGTGGTACATAATGCCTCAGAGTTCTTTTATATTTGATTTCAAATTCAAAACAATACCTTATCAGCAAAACAGAATTTCTTCCATTTTATGGAGGTTTAAGGTACGTCTTCATATAAACTAACAAAACTGTTTACATAAACACTCAAGTGCCAAGAATATTTTGAAAATGTCACAAATAATGTCCTATTACAATCTGTCTATTTCTCTTTCCTCTAGTTAACTTCTTCTTCCACTACCTCTGAGCAGCTTGCCTGTAAACCACCTGCTCTCTCCTTTGTTTCTCCAACTAATCAGAAAACACCACTTGACCCAGTTAACCTCGACGGAGCCTCTGTCTTGGAGGAGTTCCACAGTAGGAGGCTGAATGCCAGTGGGGCCTTGGTGGAAGAAACAGCTACGTATTTCCAAACTTCCGCTCACTCTTCACCCTTTTTTGCATCGAAAGGCACCTCCTCGATGTTAGAGTTGCCCCATTCCACTCAGTTATCAGGTTCCAATTTATCCAGTCCCAGTGAAGCAGATCAAAAACCTGGACTGACATCAGAAACTCTGAGGAAGACGACGTTAGCCGCGCATGTCCTTAGCCCCAGAGAAAGTCTGAGAACCTCTCCTTCACAAACCTCTGATGCTTCTCTGAAGTCGAATTCAGCCTCATACATACCAGTCCGAATTATCATGCATTCACTCTCCCCAAGTCCAAAACCATTTACCTCCTCTTTCTATGGCTCTTCTTCCACTATCTGTAGCCCAGTGTCATCTACTGGAAATCTCTCAAAGTCAGGGCTGAAATCCTCAGTGCCCTCCCGGCTTTCTCTTCTCACTGCCATCCTCAAGTCAAACCCTTCTCATCAGAGACCCTTTTCCCCTGCATCCTGTCCCACATTCTCTCTCAATTCCCTGGCTTCATCCACACTCACACTTGATCATAAAGAAAAGCAAACCCCATCCACACCTAAAAAATCTCTCTCAAGTTGCTCCCTGAGAGCCTGGTCTCCTGAGCAAACAGAACACCAGGTGTCTGACATTAGCCAACAATCCTTTCACTCACCTTTTTTCACTCAGTTTGCTCCCCTTTCTCAGGCAGCCTCTGTCTCTGCCGCAAAACACACGAGTAGCAGCCCTGCTTCTTTGAATGTAGAGAAAACACCATCACCCACTTCTTTGAAGAGCAACCCAACCCTCTCCCTGCTACAAACAAATACATTGAGTCCTCTAGGTCTTCCTCCTGTTTCTCCTAGCTTTTCTCCTTTTTCTTGGGAGAGCAAAAGGGATGCTGACCTCAGGGGTCTGGAAAAGCGCAGGAATATTTACACATACCCTTCCGAATCAGCATCCTTTACATTATCTTCTGCATTTCCCAGTAACCAGAGAGCCACATTGTCCTCTCCAGAGAAATGCTTCCATCCTTCCCCAGCCCTTTCAAACCTGATCCACAGATCCCAGAGAGCATTACCACAGCTTTCGGGCCAAGGGCAGAATCCTCCAGCTGCTCCTTCGCCTCCTGTCTCCAGTGCTAGTTCTGCTTCTCACCCCAAATTGGGGTCCTCCTCTCTCCCCTATACTAATCTTCCCACCCAGACACTCCAGCTCAGTCCTTCAGCACTACACTCAAATTGCGGCAGTGGTAACTTGCCTTCAAGACTTGGGAAATCTGAAAGCGCAATATCCGACCACAGGTCATCTGTTTCAACCCCGTCACCTCCCATCTCTCTAATGAGAACCAAGGAGCTGATTTCACCTTGTGCATTGTCCACTTCAGCAGACTCTGAGAATAAGAAACCCAAGGTATTTTTTTGCACGTTGCATGGTGCATGCTTATTTTGAAATACAGAAGAATTTTTTTTCGGGGGGGAAACATCAATAATTATGACATTCATTCTGTTCTTATGAGGAAACAAAGTTCAAGGGCAGTGGGAGGTGAGAGGGGAGGGTGTAGGGAACTAGGATTTGGTATATTTGAATGTGGAGATGAATTATAATCTTCTAAAACTGTGCATGTTTCTATAAAACTCTGATTTTGCAAATTCTTCTCTTATGGTAACTTCCTATCTTTATAGCTTCAGGCATAATAATGAGTTTTAGCATTGATTCCAAGGATGGAATTCAAAGTAACTAGTTGAGTTTGGAAATATGATACATTTCTAATTATTTAATAAACGGACTCTATTATCCATCAAAATATCCTGTACTGATAGAGTAGTAGTGTAAAATGGAATATTATCTTAGATCTGTACTGAGATTCTATCCTGTACTGATATAGTAGTGTAAAATGGAATATTATCTTAGATCTAGGCCCATATTCTTGCCAAGTCAATTTGAAAACTATTACCTTTGCTGTCATTCATTTATAATTATTAATTTCCCCCCTTCTACCAGATTGATTTCTTTGTTGCTCTTCATACCTCAAGCTAAATCAATATGGATTCTAGCTATATACATATAGGGCTAAAGGGAATAGAAATTTCCTTTATATGTGAAATGATTTGATTTATAATAAACAGTAAAAACTTAGTTATTATGAAATACAGAAAGGATAAGCAGGCTGGATATAAGGAAGTAGAAGTAAGAAAGCAGAAATATTGGCTTTTAAATATTCTGAAGCAAACCACTGAGCAGAGGTATGAAACTGGCATATATTTTAATATGAGAAGGGAAATATTTGAAGGAGTGACCCACAGCGTTCATTTCTTCTGGAGTAAGGCAACTCTGTTCTAGAGCATGACCACTTCCCAGCTATTCTCAAATAATTTAGATTGTGGATTTCATACACCCAGGATTTGACCATTATTATATAAATAAAAAAAGTTATGAAAGTACTTGTATTAAGAGGGAATTGGTATATTCAGTTCAGTGCATTAAAATAACACAGCTTTAGAGCTTCCAAGTTCCGTGGAGATTGTGTTCAACTCTGAATGATGAACTTAAAATGGGAAAGATAAAACAACCCATGTACTCTTGTTAATGATGTTGCAATATAATTCAGCTTAGAAGCATGCATTAAACACCCACTGTATGCCTACCGCTATGCTAGTGTTTTTTGAAATGTGTGTGTATATGTGCTTGTATGTGTGTTTAAGGAAAGTAAGAGATAATTTTTTTATCTTAAAAGTTTAATTCAGCAAAAAATATATGCATAATGTGGAGAACCTATAGAATTATTGAATCTATAGTAAATCTAGAAAACAAGTATAAGAATATGTTATCATAGTATAATACAGAGTATACATGTTTTTGGCCTGAATTTGATATATTAGAAATATTATTATGAGATATGGTTAGTGAGGGAAGTTATTATAAATGTCAAGCCTGTTGGAAATATTTAAAATTAATCTTAATGAAGAGGGAAGGAGTTGGTATTTCAGAAGTGGAAAATAGCCTGACCAAATACACAGAAGATTTCAGGGGAATATATGTGGAGGCATAAGAAGATTGGCTTATCATCAAATAGTGATGATAATAGTAATGACAATTATAGTGACAGATGTCAAATGCTTTTTGTGAGTCAAGACGTATCCTAGTAGTCATACAATATAGTTAGAAATTAATTAAAAGGGACTATTAACTGACTATGGTCAGTTAATTTTTATGACCACATAAGGTTGGTAATATTATTTTCTCCATTGGTTATGTACACCAAGAAACTGAAGTTCAGTGACTAATTTGCCCAGGTCACTTATCTCGTACTGTCAGAGCTGACATGTATTTTTAATTTAAATCTACCAATTCTTGAGGTCATGTTCTTTATTATTCTGTTTTATTGCTATAAAACAAAAAGCTCCTATTAATTACCATTTTAGCCTTATTTAATAGTTTTCATTAAAACTATTTGAAGGAAATATTAAAACTAATGGAGGAAAGAAACCATCATTATTATGGAATAATGATAAGAATTATCAATTTACATAATATGAGTCATTTTAAAAACGTACTATGAGAGATCAAGTCCTTGTATTTTAAACTTTGAAAGCAAGTAGGATAGAGAGAATCTAACTTTTTCTATAATTCTAAAATTATTTTTTTGAAGTTAAAAATGTGTTATTTATTAACATAAGTACAATCTTTTTTTAAATTTTATTTTATTTTTTCAAATACATTTGTCTCTGCCTACCCCCCACCACTTTCCCTTGCCCCCTCCCTTCTTCCCTCCCTCAGCTCTTCCCCTTTGGTTTTGTCCATGAGTCCTTGCTATATGTTCCTTGACTTTCCCCTTCCCTTCCCTTTCCCTGCCCTCCCTCCCTCCTTCCCTCTTGTCTCTGTTGATTAAAATATTATTTATTTGAGGTGAAAGTGACCTAGTGATTATCATTTCAATACATATGTTTGATTATGGAATTCATTTGTGGTATATTAAAAAAATTGGTGATCTAAACATTACTATTTCCTGAATTTATTAACAATTATTTCTTAAACCATACTGCCATACACTTAAATTAGTCATCACCTTTGTTAACAGTGATCATACTACAGAAGCCTTTTTGAAGTGTTGCTGTTCATGGTTCACTTTGCTACGTTCATGTTTTATCCTGTTTTTTTGGAGATAGTTGGAAGAGGGTTGGCCCAGAGGGGCTTTTGATAAGTAAAGTCCTTTTTTTCCCTAAAATCAATTTCCTTAAAGACCCGTTTTTCCGCAGCTCAGTTACTGCCCCCAATATTAATGAAATTTCCAAGTTAAAAATTAAGCATCCAGAAATGCAAGCTAAATTTGATGTAAATACAAGTATGAAAAATATGAAGAAATTATAATTTATCTATTTTCATCTGTTGCTTTGAAAAGAAAGATGTTTCTTATAATGGGTAAAACTTAGAATAACTTCTGCAAAAATAGTCATTCTCTGAGACATGCTGTTCTTTGTCTATTTGTTTCTTCCTTGCTTCTTGTTATTATCTCTCTAGGTAAAAATCAGCTTTCATATTTTTTTATTTCAAACTATTATTTGCAGAAATTATAACAGTATAAAAATTCATTTAAATGGATTCTGGAATAGATAAATCTTATTCTACTTTCTTTTGATGTTTGACTAGTTTTTATTAAATTGCTAAGACTATTCTATAGATTGGTAGGAGGAAATAGACAAAAACTCTGGGATATCAAAGAATTTATATGCTTTTATGAATTGTTTCTTGTTTTGTTCCACTGTGCTGCTAGTCTGGGCACAGGGCTATCTTTGAAATCTAAGAGCTTCAGCTTTAGATCAGCTTCACTTAGTGCCAGATCCGGAAAGGAAAGGGGTCCTATTATACAAATGGCCATCAAATTAAAACATGAATGCTTGAAGTATATTAGCTCAAAGGCCCTGCTGGCCTTTGGTATTAAAATAAAATGAAACAGCTAGAGCATGCTGAGCTAAATTCAGATATAAAGTATATTTAGTGTTTCTTTTTCACAGATCACATCTTAAGGTTCTGAATCTGTTTGCATTAGCTTGATATAATTGATATTTTTTAAGATCAGATATAGTTAAGGATATTATTTCGCAGTATGATCATGGCCGTAGACAAGATGAATTTCCTTGAATGTTGCTCAGCCTACTCTTTGATCAATATTTATGTTGTCTGAAATATTCTTCCCCCTTGGGAAAGCCTGAATATCACAAAATTAATCCATGGAGTTGTATTTGGGTTCCAATATATTTTACCTTTATTTATGAAATAGTTTAAATTTCTTCTTAGCAAGTTACTATGATGTTCCATACATTTTGACAGTTACCCAAAATGGTGACATGTATGTGCAGGCCGTAAAGTTATTTGGAAACATAATATATTTAAGGAATTAGTTGGGAGCTTTTTGATATTTCCTGAACTTCTAGCTGGTATTTTATCTATAAAATCTTATTCCTTTAAGGCATCAAAACATTTCCAAAAATATTTCCCTGGAAACTTGATGGCAACAGTCTCTATGTAACTTTCCCCATTTCTGCTGATCATATGTAATCTGGAAAATGAGCAATATGAAATATACTTCTATGAGCTAGCACAGTTAATGTGGGCTCAAACAAATCACTTGTTCATTCATTCAATATGTACTGAGTGCTTATTATGTGCAAGACATTTTTCAAACTTATAAGAATATATTTCAACAAATAAAATAGCAAAATCTCTGCTCATACAAAGTTTATATTCTATGGTGGAACAGATACAATCAACAATAACCCCCCTCCCCAAATAAGTGTATTTCCTTGTGTGTTAGAAGGTCATATGTGGTAATGAAAAAATATAGCAGGGTAAGGAATGGTGTCACAAATTCAGGTTGGGTGGTCAAGATAGGTTTCTTTCAGAAGGTGACATCCAATGAGGTGTTGCTCATAAGTGTGTAGTCAGGAAAAATCCCTGAGGCCAGAGAGTGTGGGGCAGATACAAAGAACAGGGGAGCCAGAGTGGCAAGAGTGGAGTGTGGATGCTGAGGTTGTCAAGTGGGAGATGTAACTGAGAGCTATTGCAGGCCTGTGAGGTCTTGCATAACACTTCTGTGTCTTTGATTTTTAATTTGAGTAAGACAGGAAGCAGCTGGGGGGGCGCGGTTGAATAGATAATCAACATAGTCTTATCTATCTGGCTCCTGTGTTAAGAATAGACTCTAAGAGGGTGAGAGGGGAAGAAAGAAGATCCTAAGAGGCTATTGCAACAGCGTAGGAAGTGATGGTGGCTCTGGTGATGTTATAGTAATGAAGGCAAATATATCATTTTTGAATATATTTTGTAGATAGAGTAACAAACATTCATCAGTTATTACAGTCAGACATATGTGAAATGGTAAAACAGCTGAAACCACACACATATGTATCTTCTTGTTTCCTTTTTCTCTTTTGTCTCACTCTCTTTTACTCTACCTCCTCCACAAAGTTCTTGGTGCCTTTTTGAGATTCTAGATTTTCCATGATTCTCCCATCCCTGCTATTCTGTCACTTCCATCTCTACACTAGCCAATGCTGTGTCTCATTCTCTTTGCTTCTCTCCAGCTAGCCTTTCTGAATTGATTTTTAGCAATGATTTACATGCACCTGTCAGTGGTTGACAAAAGTTTCCTTTTCACCCCTAGGGGAATGATTTGTTACATTCGGAGTCAGGCTGGTCAGATCAGCTTCTATGATTAGCTCATGGTAATTCCAGCCTGTAATACTACAGTCTAATATTCAAGTTATATTTACCTCAACTAGAAAGATTTGTAATTGTAAACAAAAGAAGGGAAACCAATGAATTTGGTTTAACACCTGGGAGCCTTGGAAAGCTGTAGAAGAAATGTATTTCAAATTAGAATAGTATTAAAAGAATCCAGAGGAAATATAGTGAACCCAAAATGTATCTATTATGGCAACAAGAATGATTTTCAGACTGAAAAGGGAAAGCTATATATGTCTTAGAGATGCATAAAGCCTAAGATAGATGAGGAACTAGAAAAATCACCTAGTTCTAAGTAAGTTCCTGATCTAGAAAAATTGTGTCTCAAAACAGATGAAATTTCTATTTCTATTGCAAAACCATTTTAAATGATGGAAAATATGATATTTACCAGGAATAAGAAGTGAGCCTTATGTTTCATTTTTCAAAAATATGGAAGATGAATTCTGAAAGTTATAGCCTATATTCTTAGTTTGTAAGTGTTTACAAAAACAGTTATAACTGGAAGTAAGACATTTTCTTCAAGCAACAGACATTTATTTATTGAACTCCTTCCAAGTTCTAGCTTCCATGATATCTTTTATTATATCATGAACGAGAAGAGACACACAAAGTATAATGATGTGTTTCTGTGAACTCACGTTTGTTTCAAGTGCCCAGTTGAAAGCATCCTCAAGATCACTTTCTAACCCATCACCTTATTTCAAATTTCTGCACATTATTTGTTTCTCTATGACTTTTCCTTTGCTTTCTTATTTGTTTATAGTTTTTCTCCATTCATTAGAGCATAAGCTCTAGAAACTAAAGGCTTTGTATCTTTTGTTCATTACTGAAATTCTCGTACTTAGAACAATGCATGTTACAAAGTACATGCTCAATAATATTTTGTTGAATGAATCCATGAGTTTAGCTGCTATATCTAAATAGATTTATAGGATTGGTTGATGTCTCCTAGGTTGACAGAACTCGGTAGACAAAAGCTCCTTATCCCTGATATATGACTTGAATGAAAATAAAAATGACATACCTAACAAAATGGTTCATGAAATGATATAAAATATTTATCTTCATAGTTTACAATGACAAACCAAATATAGTCAGATGGAATCAGACAGAGATAATATCCAAAGTACTCTTTCTGTATCGACAGAAAAAACATAACTACAGAATGTTTAAAAAAATGAAAGGATTAGGGATTTTAGGTGATAGCATGCTCAGTATGATCAAACAATATGAAATAACTCCAACTTCACTCTCCTGTATATTCTAAACTCACCACAAAAACCAAAGAGATAATTTTAATTATCATAGCCTTCATTGTATGAATTGATGTCATTGTCAAATCATAGAGATGATTATATTCTACTTTGTATTAAAAATATATCTAATTAAATACATTCCCATTCAAAATTTAAAGTAATATTGACAGAGGGAAATGATAAGAATAGTGAAATTCTTCAGTTAAAGATTGGTAGAGAGAGGTTGGTAGGAACAGCGGTACATACAGGGATGGTGCTGAAGAGAGCTCTTAGAATGCACAGGATTCCATGCGGGGAGAATTTGCAACAATGGAGTAGTTAGAGGGAAGCATATTTTGGCTCAGTGTAAGGAAGAATTTTGTACCACATCTAACAATTATGCCTAAATGTATTGCCTTGGGAGGTAGTAAGCATTCATGGGGTGTCTTGACAGAGGACCAGAGATTTATGTCTTGAGTGAGGGCATTAAACCAGGTGGCCTTTAATATCACTTCTGATCCTAAGATTCTGTGGCATGATATGTGCATTAACAAGATATCTCTCTGTAAATCTTTCTCCAGCTATAAACTTTAGGGCAGTTGAAGATAGAGGACAGACATTATAAATGATTATGCATTGTAAATTGAGAGGCAAGGGCATGTGGCAGATAAGCACACTGTTATTGAACTGGAGTGCCTGCATCCATATCCCAACTATGACTTACTAGCTAGTTACCTTAGATAAGTTACTTAACATGTCTGCACTTTAGTTTCCATATATCAAATGGATATAATACAGTATCTACATAATAGATTTGTTGTGGTAATTAAATGAGATAATACACATAAAGTGTTAGAAGGATGGTACCTGGCCCATAGTGATTGTTAGTTTTTATTATTATAGCAACTATCATTACAATTAAATATCCATAAAACCATCATGGAATATTAATGATATATTTTATTCTGTGTTAATTGTCTTTAAACATTCATTGGGAGGATATATTATCTTATAGAGAAAGCAGGGATACTGGATCCAGTCAAGTCTGAATGCCAAACCTGTTTCAACTCTTTATGGGCTGTGTAGTCTTAGGCAAAACTACACCTGACCGCGCCACGTCTCCTTTTCCTAATGACTCTTTAGTTACAGGGCTTCTGTAAAACTAAATGAGGCAATGTATATAATTTGCATAGTAATAAATGTCAGCTCTTATTCCCCATGAAGAGATGACTTTTTATGTTTTCTTTAGCCAAGTACATTGTTGTCTGGAGACCATAGCAGTGCAGGCTAAAGACGGAGACTTAAGGCTGGAAAGGGACATGAGACTTCTTTCGGGTCTGACATTTTGATTTCTCTTACCTTCATTGCACCAGTTTAAGGAAGGTTACTTCAACTATATCCATAAAACTCAAGGTTTTGTTTGATTTGATTATCCATTCTTCTTCTGTAGACCCTTTGTTTGCTTTTCAGTGGACTGAGGCTGCTTAGAGCTGTGTGCAGATTTCCCCCCAACTGTGAGCTGCCTGAGACAGAGGCTTCCGAAGTGATAGGAGCCTTGAATTTAGTTAAGCAGCTTGGGACCCAGAGCAATATCAAAGCTGGGCTTTTGACCATGCTTATAATCCTGATTTCTACAACAACTTCCTCATGTTCAGACCTCTCCCCCAGATACTACTCAAAACTAAACTATATACCTCTGAATTATACATAAAACTCAGGACATTTTATCATTTGATTCATTAACATTAATATATTAGAAAGTACAGGAGATGATAAGGTTTAAAAATTAATTTAAAATCAAGAGCTTTCTAATTTTTCTATTTTGGAGTTAAACTGATGAAATTACCTATTCAAAATATGCTGCTTATAAAAATGCTACTAAATTTTATGTATTCTGATCTTTGTTTTTAGGAATGATGTAAGAAAAGGTATAAAGGTTCAATATATTTTACTGGAATAATATTTGTTAATTATGACACTATAAAAAAAGGATCACTTTCCTTTGAGATTCCAAACCCCCCCCTCAGAAAAACCCCCTCACATTTACAGAATAGTACTCCTATGAGGGAATGCTGCTAATGAGAAATTTATATATAACTTTCTAGTGATTGATACTTTTACGTTCTGAAACTATAGGTCATATAATTGTCAATAATCCCTAGGCTTACTACTGTGATATTTCTTTGCTTCACATTCTAATGAAATATTAACGTGGTGAACTAATTTTTTTCTGTTAAAAACAAGTTGTTCAAGCATAATAACTCTTCTCTTTGTTCAATAACTTGTCATTTAACCTGGTAGAAATAGTCTAAAATTATATTATATTCTTTCCTCTTTTCATTTCCACTCTTGCTTTCTGGTTACCCATTCTAGCAATACAAGACCAAGTCAAGTTACAAGGCTTTTGCAGCAATCCCTACAAACATATTCCTTTTGGAACAGAAGGTCAGTGTTGGCTCAAAAGCAGAGTGAATTTTATGTTTCTGTCATTTTTGTTATGTTTTCCAAATTTTCTCTTTTAAAGTTCTGTCTTTATTAAAAGAAAATTCTGCTCTTAGTTTAGGATGATGTGATGAAAACATCTTGGTGAATAAAATTGCCAATGTCATTGACTTATCACTAGAGGATAGATATGAGCCTAGAATTGTCCAGTCCCATGTCAAGCAGCCCTGTAAAGCTTAATTTAGATTCAGATACATCCCTGTCTTTTGGCATTTTATACGGTTGTTATATTCAAGAGCTTCCACTTTTACTTGTATTGATCAGAACAATAGAGGCAAAATGGGCTTATGTGTGCCACTGGCCATCTTGGTCAAAACTTGGTGACTCATAGTAGCAGTGTAGAAACCTGTTAGCTGACTATCCACCTTAGCTTCTTGGATCCCATGATGGGCTAAATCTCTTCACCATTCCTGCTGGCTACTGAGCCTACCTCCATAAATGAGAGGGAGCAGTGATATCACTTCTAATGACCCATGCTTTCGTATGGCTCCAGGGCATTTTTGCTTTCCTATTAAAAGTCATTAATTATAAGATTATAGGATTCTGCTTCAGTAGGCAAATTAAATTAAAGCCTCTCATTCAGTAAGCACATTATAGATGCTCAAGTGAAGGCCAAATAGACGATCGTATCAGAATCGAAGTGAAATCAATGACTAAGTTTATGAAATTATTTACTTTATACATAATTTTTATGATATTTAGGCAATTTATTTCTGTGCATTAAGCCCATTTTTTCCTGTGTAATTAGTACTTCAAATAGTGTTATTATCATTTTTCAAACGTTAATGTTTGCCAAACAGGTGGTATTTTGACCACTGGTTTACGAATCTTTTATGAATCTACATGCTTGTTATTTTAGCGATCCAGGGAATAAAACCATGTATGATTTCTTATCTAAAATGTAGGAATTACTAGTGAGAAATGCTAAGTAGCATGTAGGTGAGCATTACTGGGGAGCATTACTTATATTGTAAATTACCCACATGTAGTCCAGAATCGATGCTCTATGTATATACGTGCTTTGAACTGAGGGCGGGGGGGGGGGGGTGTCACTGGGCTGCAGGGAGATTGGCAGCTATTTCTCTAGCTTCTCTTCTAAATTTCTACCTTTTATAACCCATTAAAAGATGGGCCTAAAACACTAATTTCAGGAGGCTTCCGGAGAATGCAAGAAGTGCATCAGATTGCCCCTTATCTTAATTGCCTATTATTATGTTGAGTCATAGTAGCAGTGTTCCCTCACCACAGACTCTGCCTATTTCAGGTGAACATTTTTGAAATCTGCTCTTCCAGAAATGGGAGAACCGCCCCCCGCCCCGAAGCAGCCAGGCAAGAAGGATAGGGGCCTGTTGTGTCACGGTATCCTTCCGTCATACTTGTCTCACCTAACCTGGCTTATCCTCCTGTAGCTGTGTGGTTCTGCTATATCAATTCTCTACTTAGAAAAATAAGTAAAGTTAATTCTTCTTGACTTTTGTAAAATAAAGCTAGATGTCAGTATTTGTTCCAGAAACACTACCATCTCTCTTCTCTCCCACTTAAGTAGATTTTAGAGATTATAATCTATTAGTGATTAAAAATGAAGAACCATTAACTTAGTTTCCAATTTTATTACAAACCCATTTCAACAATGTGTATGGTTGTATTACTGTATATTGAATCTAATACTTCATATGGAGAAGTTTTGGTTTTTAATTTTGAATAAAACATAATTTTTAGGGAAATTATTATTTGTATTTTTAGTACAATACAATGTAAATATCATGATGCCTAACTTAAAATATTATTCTAGAGAGAACCGATTATTATACAGGCAACAATGTGGATAATATTCCCTCATCTAAGATAAATTGTTTTTGTACCATAAATATTTGAATTGCACAAAGGTCACAAAATATGACTTGATGTTTCTTTTTGCTTTAGAGCCTTTGCATAATTTCACATATTTTTTGCTGGTTTCCCATGTTATGTGTTCATTAATGAGAAACTTAACTTTGCAGGAATTTTTAAATAACAAAAGTCTTAGCCTAAGATTTTATGGTTTATTTAATTTTCACTAATATTTCTTCAATGATATTTTCCTGCTCTTTTTATGATTGTAGTTTTTAAACAATAAATCTGGTAATTCAGACCTTTTTTCCATCTGTTTATACCAATGATTTTCGATTGGTATGCTGAAAGAATTTTTTTTAAAAAGATTTTATTTATTTATTTATTTATTTATTTATTTTTTAATTTTAATTTTTTGTTCAAATACATTTGTCTCCACCTTCCTGCCACCACTTTCCCCTAATAAATAAAAATAATTATTTATTTTTAGAGAGAGGGTAAGGGAAGGAGTAAGAAAAGGAGAGAAACATCAATGTATGGTTGCCTCTTGAATGCCCTGTACTGGGGACCCAGCTTGCAACCCACGCATGTGCCCTGACTGGGAGTTGAGCCGATAACCCTTTCATTTGCAGGCTGACACTCAATCCACTAAGCCACACCAGTCAGGGCAAGAACTTTTAAAATATACTATACCTAACTACATGATCAGTGGCACTGACCTGTTTTCCCTTAGACTGTCAAATTAAAAAATGACAACAGCCAATGCAACAAGAGTCATCTGGTGTGTATGAATTAAAATTAAAACTATTTTTTTTGTCAGATTGGCAGAAATAATAATATATATTTTGGTGTGCCGCAGAATTTTAGTAATTAGTTTATGTGTACCATGAGATGGAAAAGGTTGAAAATTGCTGGTTTATACAATAGAACTTGCCCTATGATGTTTAAATCAAAGGAATTTGTTTTGGAATTGAGTGGGAAAATTGAGACTATAATCATCAAAAACTCATCTATTTTGGTAAACATTAACATTTTGGAGTATTTTAAGTCACAGAATCTCTTCTGAGACCCCTTTAATATCACACAAAACACTGCCTTTAAGGTGTAGGGTGATGCTGCAGTCTTGTTATAATAATCTGTTAGCATCTATGCTGTAGAATGACTTAGATAGAACTAACATTTAACTGAAGTCTTAGTTCAATAATTAATTCTATCCCTGAGTCAGATTAAATCCATGGTTGGCATTTTAGACCACATTCTGCTTTATAACATATAGTATAATTAGTGGAGAACCTGGCTCATTTAAAAATAATAGTATTTTTAAAAGCAAGGTTTTCTCCAAATTCAAATACAGGCATCTCTTTTAATGAGACATTAAGCTATCATTGAATCACTGGATTGGTTTCCAATTTAATCACTCCTAGATGAATCACATAATTTTCAAAAGGGTACATTTTGTTGGCAAGGTATAAGAAGTTTCTGGTATTTCTGTAATTCCTTTTCTGCATCAAAACCTAAATTTATAGCTTATGCAGTATTCTTTCTTTTTCCCCTATGTACATTTATGAAGGAAACATTTTTAGCTTAAGTCTTAACTAAGGCTTTATAGGAAGAGATAAATGTAAGGCAAATTTTAACATGTTTGCTTCAGGATCTTTGGCTTCATCTGCTACAAATAATCATCTCTAAGATTGAGATGATGATGAAATACAAGTGATTGTAAAGCAGGAACAAAGTAATCAGATCACCTTGCATTTGTGACTGTCCACGGACCTTATTATAATAAGAGTCCCTGGTTCAACAGTATACTAAGCTCTGTAGAGAAAATAATTTTGATGTGAACATTATTTTTTAGTCTCTCTGTGTGTACTGCTGTTCTTTTCAGAGAATGTTACAAGTATCTCTCTTATTGGTTAATTTTTCTATTCTGATAGCAATAGATAAAAAGTTAAAATTAAACTAAAGTGCCCATAGTAATATTTTAAATAGATTATTATTTTTATTGTGCACTTGTGTTAAGGACAGAAAAAATGAAGGAGGGAATATTTTCATGAAATCATGTAACATGCATATTTATTGTCTCACAGGTAATTAATATTTTTTCATAACAGTATAAATTTTTTTCTTGAAAATAATTTGAATTCTTTCTTCTTTTCCTCACAAGTATTGCTGAAGAGAGAATCAAGGCTATGATTAGTACCCTTTTCCAACAAATGGCATCACTACCCAACAAATGGTATTTTAAAGATACATTTAATTCATAAATGTGAGTTTGAAAGAAAAATTCTAGAGGAGCTCAATTTTATAAATAACATACATATATAAGTTATAGGATTTATTATTTAAATAAAACTTCTGGGATAAATTGTTTTTTGTTGGAAGGAATACAAAAAACAACCATTTTGAAGACTGTGCTATAAAAACAGAAACTTAAAGATGTGAGATACCCCATCAGCTGTCAAATCAATTTATTCTAAGTTGCCAGTTTAATTTTTTAAGACATGAGTTGGTAAACTCCAATCTGATTAAACATATGTCTTTGGGTGAGACTATTTTAAAATCTCTGTATGTTTGAAAAATTGAACAAAATCTGGTTGCTAACTTAGTATATGGTCTACGCTGGAGAGATATCTCTTAATTTAGATTATTATAGTGAATGTATTCCAAATTTCTTTAGCAATAAAGAAGTGCCAGGACCCAAATCTATATTAATTGCTTCTTCTTAGGCAGTTGTCTACCATGTATATATCTTTTAAAACACTTACCAAACCTTATTTAATTATGCATATTGGTAGTTTTATTTTTTACCATGAACTATCTGAGAGAATATAATAGATTTTTGCCAAATATTTAGTGAAGGAATTAATTTAGTTTACAGCTAGGCGTTTCTCTAAAATTATCAATTTTATTCCACAGGATTTTAAGATACATTTTTTTTGTCCTAGGATTATAAAAATAAAGAAGTCTTATATGACAATTGGGATCTTCTTTTAAGGTAGAATAAGCCTCATCAATTTTGCTTCCATGGAAAAGGTATACAGGACTTTTTGCTATTGGGGAAGTAAGTTGGTTTTAGATTTGGCACCTTTTAGCAATTAGAGAATATAGTCGTAATGGCTGCCACATTGACTGCTATAGTGTATCAGACACTAAGCTGAATACTTTGCTAGCCTCATAACTCTGTGAAGATTTTGGTGATCTAAGATGTCAAGTGGATATCCCAAAGCAACAGGGCTAGTAAATTGCTGAACTGGACCTCTAGTGGGGTCTGACTATGCCCTAGCCATTCCTTCCTCCTCATGCAGCAGTGATGTCAACCAGCTAAAGTGAAATATTGAGGAAGAGATGATGATTTTGGCTCCCTGTCTACAACACCTTTTTCATTACTTGCTAAAATATATTTACATTTTCATTAAATTAGAGCAACAAAAGTGATTTTTAAATGAAGAACAATGAAAGTAAATAGGAAAGGATTTAGCTCTGAGAAGACATTAGTGAGAGAGAAATTACAAAATCAGCCCAATTTCTTGAGCTACTGAAAGATATGAAGTGAATTACTGTGGAGGAGGTGCTATCTGGAAATAAGAAACCCCCTTCTGATACTTTTGATTAAATGAAGGAAAAGTATGGGTTTTCCTGCCACTGAGCCTTGCTGAATGGGTTTGATGCTGTCTGTAATGGTTTACAGAAGTCCTCTTCTTCTGTGTTGGGGGGAACAGACATTTTACCCAACAAAGATTTTAGGATTAAAAACACCAAGCAGATCTCCCCAATTCTTGAAAATTTTAAACCAATCATATAACAATAATTTAATGATAAATATACTTGAGTCTTTAAAGAAGAGGTATTTTTACGTACCTGGATGCCCCTTTGGCTTACAGCGTACATTTCTCCCTTTTCCTCAGATTTGAATGCTATTCAGTCCTGAATGTTCAACCAACTATAAGCTGAGATTTATTTTGCCAAGGCTATCTTCAGTCTTACAAATGGTTTTATATTTATCACTAAAAAAATCAAGCACAGCTTTTGTAGTCCTCAGAGGATTTATTCCAGCAAATGGCTGGTCAGATTAACAAAGTATAAGAGCATTTAGGTTTAGCATGAATCATATTAGGGTTAATTTTATCCTTACTGAAATATATAGCAACTCTCCCATGAAACTTTTGAAATCCGATTCAATTAGATAGCCTAGGCAACACAAAACGTTTATAAGCCCCTTCACATTATTCTTCTTTTGAAAGCTGTACATTTCTAATTCTATTTAGAATGCATCTAATGTATTCTATCTTTGGATACTTTTTAGAACTTAATCCTATTTCCAAAGAGAGTAGATTAGACTGATTTAATATATCAGACTAAAAATTGTTTGCATTTCCATCAAAGATGTTCCCTTTGCTGGGGGAACACACATTACAATTTGTTGGCAGGTATTCCCATAAGGACTTTGGTTTACAATGCTTGCTCGTGATTCTTAGCTACTAATAATATTTTAATATGGCGCTAAAAAACTATTTTCTTTTAAAAGTCAGATTTACTATGTCTTTTTTCCCCCCAAAATGGCGCCCCAAAGTTGGCTGTCCCAGGCAAAATATAACTACTTTTAATGAGAATATTTCTGATGACTTATATTAGTTAAAAATCCTCAAAAAGAGAATTCTAAGCATGTCCCAATTATACTTCACTTGGCTATCATCCAATTTGGTACAAAAATATGTTTTGAATAAAAACCTTTTATTGGAGAATGTTCTGAGAAAACTTCACTCAAAGTGAATAAATATAAAGAAACATCAATACAATCCTGCTGGCTAAGTTGTGAAAAAACAATCTATAGTCATATTGCCTAGTAATGAAGATTTAATGTATTTTATTTTAGTACATTTTTGTAGTACAGAGAAAGAAACTACTTTTTATGGCTGTTGGAAGGAGTGGATCAAGATGATATGTTTGATAACTTCTCATCAATCAGAAAATCAATTCTAGTAAATTTTGAGGCTATTTAAGTGCAAAATAACTCCCTTCCAAATTTTAATGCAGTCTTAGTATTGTCCCCATTTCAAAGTTTCAGCACATTAATGACCTAAACCCATTATCTACCTTAATTTTCCAATCATCCTGAATAGATAGTTTTTCTTTCTTTGAATAAATTACAATATTTTAAATTGCCTAATGAAAGATGTGTTTGCCTATAATAAGTTCCAACAGAGTAACAAGGATATTTGCCTTATTTGGTTTTATCTGAAAAAAAAATTCTCTCATTAAATTAGCACTGATCACATACTCAGATCTTTGATGGTAAACAAATTTAATTAAAATGCAGGTAAAGAAATTATTTGTTAGTTAAAATATTTAAAGAGTTTAAACCACTTCTCAATAGCATTTTTCTGAGGAGTATTAACGTTATATTTTTCTATGATTTATATATTCATTTAACTTGATTTATTTGTCAATTTACTCTTTCAGTCTATCCTAAAGATTTTTACTGAGTACATATCACGTGCTCTTTCCTGAGGCTACAAAAATAAATAGTATATTTTCCCAATTGTAATAGGACAAATGTTCCAGTATTGTGGAAATACAGTTAAAAAATATAATTATGATGCAATCTGCTTAAGTTATGTGCAAAACAATAGAGTATCCCAACTTGACAAATGTCTCATGTAATGAGAGTAAAAAAGAAAAGGGCTAAGAATTAGTTAAGGCATTTTCAAAGAATAAAATCTGCTGTCTGCCTCATTAGATAGCAAGGCTTACTAGGAATTGATGTTATAAAAGTATGCTATTAACACATGAAATAAAGCAGAATATAGAACAACTTACATCTATGCAAATAATAAATGAAACAGTGTCAATGAAGAAGATGGGAATAAACATGAAAGATACCCAACCTCACAAATTATCAAAGAAATAAAATCTAAAACCAAAGAGAGATAGTTCACATACATCAGGCTGTTAACAACTTTTTAAAGTGTGAAAACAAGAACTGTCTGTTGCTATGATGAGCATAATGTTATTCAATTGTTTTAAAGAAATTTGAGAATATCTGATAAAAGCAACTCTCCATGATTACACTATTGTGCATGTACTGTAATTTAACATTACAAACGTGTGTCTAAAGAAATGTGTACACATGGATGGTAGTTATTACAGTTTATAATAGTGAAAATTGGCGCAACAGCAACAGAAGGAAGTATCCATTTTTTCGTGGAATATCCATATAATGAAATCCTATGTGTAAGTGAAAGACTGAACAAATAACTACATGGAACAAGTAATAGGGTAGGAAGAAATTTTCAGTGGTGATGGATATATTTATAACCTATTATTATTTATAATAAAAGATTGTGGAGATCTTTTTATGGTTGTACACTTCCAAATTCATCAGCTATATACTTTAAATACAGGTTTTTGTATGTCAGTCATAATTCAACAAAGTGGTTTAAAAAACAAAAATGAAAGCAAGTACTGGAAGTATATGTTATACTAACACAGTGCAAAAAAACTACATAGTAGGTTGTCTAATAATGTATACATATATTAATATGATAAAACAATTAAGGACATACATATGACGATAACCACAAAATGAATGAGAATGGTTACCTGTCTCGTGAGGAGAAGAAGCAAGTAGGGAAGAATGCACCCTGGCTTCTGTTAGTTTGTAATATTTTACCTCATATTCCAAATGGAGTGAACAGAGTGAACAAGAGTGTTATCTTATTCTCTCCATTTACGTATCTGTAACATATCACAATAAATAAAAATTAGGTTTTATTTTGAAAATTAGGTTTTATTTTGAAAACAGTTTGTAATATTTTACCTCATATTCCAAATGGAGTGAACAGAGTGAACAAGAGTGTTATCTTATTCTCTCCATTTACGTATCTGTAACATATCACAATAAATAAAAATTAGGTTTTATTTATCTTGAGGCCAAATCTTATGCATTGAATAAGGTAGCTAAGACTTTTGGGATATAAATAATTAAAAATAAAGCAAGATTTTTTTTTTATTCTGTGTGCATGTTTCTTGTAAACTGATCCTGAAGCATTTCCTCAAGAATAGTTTTTGGAAAATTTTGGGAAGTATCTACATCATTCTTACCTCTGTGTGTAGCTTCTCAAGGTACTCCTTTGAAGGGAACAAGGCTCATCTAGAAGTAAAAGATGTCCAAGTTCTAATTTGTATACTTAAAAACTCAGCTTCTTCTCTTTATTCCAACATCTTATAATAGAGAAACTGATTCCACAAGAGAAACTAGACCAATGTGGAAAATGCCCTTGTGTCAGAGAAGAGCTCATCAAATTATTCGAAGATTTTTTTTCTTGGAAATATTGAAATATAGAAGGATTTCTTTGAAGACACTTTTTAAATGACATTTATATTTGACTAAAAGCCTCACATAAGAACTATTTCATTTACCACTAGGCACTAGATGAACCAGCCAAGACTGAAAGTATCTCCAAGGACAACACATTAGACCTACCTCTGGAGGTAATGACTTTATATTACCCCTGTGTTTGAAGTGCAATCCCAAAACTCACTGCTAACTCAGTACCTGGTTTCAATTCTTCCAGTTTTGTTTCCCTGCACAGCTCAGGCAGCAAACTGAAGAGCTCTGTGCTACCATTGATAAGGTCTTACAGGATTCCTTGTCTATGGTAATGCCTTAGACTAGAATGTGCAATTCAAACATTTGCTTTGCTTCTCTTCATTTGCCTATATTTGAGTGTGATGTATCACAGGCTTGTCTTTCTTATTTTCCAGCATTCTTCTGATTCTCCTTCCAGTACCCTACAGACATTGTTGGGTTCTAACGCTATCAAAGTATGTATATATTTAATATAATTTACTGAACCATAAGAGTTTCTATATCAATAATTTTTAAGCTGCAGGTCAAAGTCCAGTAGGGAATTGGGAAATTAATTTAGTAGATAGCAACCAGCTGGGTATTTTTTTTTGTTAGGAAACTGCATTTTAAAAATAGAATAATAAGAATGTAAAAAAATATCAGATTCTGTTCCAAATAGTGTAGGTAGTACTGAAATTTATTTCAATTTGTTTACATATACATATATAGGTATATTTGTACAGGTTTGTAAAGTAAAATCTGTTTCTAACCATGGGCCAAGTTCACAACATTTTGAAAGCCAACATAATAGGCTACATTATATGTTGGCATTTTCAGAAGCTCTATGTACAATTTGTTGCCTAATCTCATCCTGACCATGTCTTCAGTGCTTATGAAATTCACAGCCACTTAGAATTGTAGAAGTGGAAAATGAAGTACACTAAACTAGCATTAGTCTAAGAGCTTTATCACAGGTATTATTTCTGGGATATTATTTCTTTTGGTTGACAGAATCTATTTCATTGACTCAGAGGAACAGAGGCTTGGATATTTTAGATTGTTAGGGGACTACTAAAGAATTAATTTTATATTTACATAATGAAATGTTTCCTTCTTATACTGTAGCTATTTTCATTTGTTGGAATAAAATGTTACATTTTTCCAGTTTTTCTGAGTGCTTAATACAGACCTCCTTATTACAAATTTTGAAACGGTTGTGGTTTTTTCTTTATTGACAATGGTTAGTTTTTTGTCAGCCTTATATTCTCTCTTGGAATTAGTATACTTTGTGCATGCTTTTTAAAAAAAAGTTGGATACTGTATATATAAAGTAGGTTTTAAACATAAAGATTGCTTATAATTAGAAGAGTAATCCTAACTATCTATTGGAACATTATAGACAAATATCCATTAATAATGATGCAGAAACCCAATAACCATTAATTGTCAGTATTAAAAAATTATATTTTATCAGAAAGGACCTATAATGAATAATTCTATGTTTATTATCTAGTTAGTTGTATACATTTATCTTTTAATCTAAAAATATAAAACTATTTAAATACTATGTAAACTTTAAAACATATTTTTTGTTTGTTGAACATAATAAAATATCCTATATTATTTAACTGTAATACGAATAGGACTTAAATAGTATAATATGAATAACCATCTTTATTATTGATTTATTTTAAATATTTAATGCTCATACTGTTTAAAAGCATTAAGTCACTATTACTAAGGCAATTATTTCATTCCACAAATATTTATTAAGTGCCTACGATGGGCCTGGCCCTGTGAAACATTAGGGAGATAATGGTAAACAAGGCAGAGTTACTTGGGGGGCGTACTTTGGATGTAGTTATCCGAAAGCAGAATTCACGCTGAGAGCAAAGATGGAAAGAAGCCAACCACAGGAAAATCACGGAGAATAGCTTTCAGTTAGAGGAGTAGGCATATGCAGATTTCCTGAGTCAGGAAAGCACTTAGTGTGTATGAAGACCAAGAAAAATGTGGTTGAAGCATAGTGAGCCAGGGGTGAACCGTGTGAAATGAGGTTGAGAAGGTGGACCAGAGATAGTGAAGATACTTTTGGGCCATGACATCAAGTTTGGGTTCCAAGGAAAATGAGAAGACATAAAAAAATATGGGGGAAATTATATGATACCATTGAAAAAGATCACAATAGCTGCTGCAAAGAGGCTACTGAGGTCAGAGAGGCAGTGGATGAAGTCGGCCTGGATACGGTGGGTTTATAGCTAGAGAGGACTACGTGGGTATGAGAGAGATTTTTCAGATTTGTCGCACATTTGGAGATGAGTGTGAATAAGAGAAGATGGATGAGCTCCAGGTCTCTTCCTTGGGCATAGACGACTGTGAAGGAGCACGGTGTGGGAGAGGAAGGAAAGCTGGTTTGGATAGGATGACTTTGCAGTGTGCATTACGGAGGACTTAAACCTGTGTGTCTGGAGGTGGTAGGAGAGATTTTTGGGGATGACCAGCACATGAATGTTGTGAGCGCCCTGTACAGAGCTCCAGGGAACAAAACAGCTCAGGTCCAATAAAGGAGGTGGAGCAGAAACCTGCAAAGGAGAAGAAAAATCCCTTATAAGAAAATCAGAGCAGGATGGTGTCATGGAAGCTACAAGAAAAGAGTACTGCAGAGAACATAATTGTAGGGATGGGGGCCAAGAGGAAGAGGAAGATAGGGCTAGAGAGGTATTCATTAGATTTGACATATATTTTGAAACTATATTGCTGTTTCTTTTGTGTTGGTGCTCATTCTTATCTTTTTATTTTTTATAGCTTTTACTAGCATTTATAATCTTTTTGAACCTAAGGTTGTGTTTTTAGTGTAGTATGAATATAGTTATCCTATATAGGAAATAAATATGTAATTTTTAATTCATGTTTTGTTAATTTTTTATGTTACCTTTAAAAATCAATTTCTATTAGTTCACTTTTTCTTTATGTACCCTCTTGCGTTTTTCTTTAGGACAACATTTCTGGATATCACTGTTATATTCAATTTGAGATTTTCTCTATCTAGGACCTTATGTCATTTATAATTATTATAATTATTATTATATTAATACTGATTTCTGCAATCTTATTTTATATTTTCAACTTAAAATGTTTTCTTTATCTGCCTTTTCTGCTTTCTTTTGGATATTTTGACATTAACTGGTCTGAAACTTTTGAAAATTTTACTTTATATTTTTGTTACTTTTTGTAGTTACATATAAATTATTAAAGATAATAATTATGTTTATTTTCCTATCATTTTTAAAGCTTATAAATATTTTCCCAGACATTAGATAAGTACTATAGCACTTTAATTTCCACATGTTTTTAATCAAGGCACACACCCAGATATAATTTGTTAGTATTTTTTTGACTTTTATATTTAAATTATTATGATTATATTTTATTTAACTCTTCTTTATTTAGATACTTATTCTTTATTTAGATCCTATTTCTCACAAGTTCATACCTTTGCCTTTTTTCTTGTTGGAATCTTGCTGAAAATTTTATTCAACATCGGATTGTGTTGATTCTATGGCCTCTATCCCTAAAAATGTATTTTTTGCCCATTCATTTAAATTCACTGGTGTAGCTCAGTGGATTGAGTGCTGGCCTACAAATCAAAAGGTCACCAGTTCGATTCTCACTCTAGGGAACATTCCTGTGTTGCAGGCCAGGTCCCCAGCAGGGAGCAGGTGAGAGGCAACTACACATTTATGTTTCTCTCCCTCTTCCTCCCTTCTTTCCCCTCTCACTAAAAATAAATAAATAAAACATTTTAAAAAATAAAATAAATTATAAAATGAATTATAGTTTTGCTGGATATAAAATTATAGACCTCTCTTCAACACTTTTCCCCCCAGGTTCTGTTACTTCAACCTTTCTTGTGAAGTATTTTGTCAGCATGATGTTTATTCTTCTGCTATAGAGTAATCATTTACAGAGTGGTACGGTAATCTTTCAATATTTTATCTTTACCTCTGATGTGACTATTTTTCCTATAATGTGTCTAGGCATGCATTTTTTTTGTTGTTGTTGTCTTATGTATCTGGATTGGTGATCTCTTTGATTTTTCACTTAGAGCCTTTAAGTTTTTCCTTCCCCTTAAATTCGGCATAATTTTTAGTTATTTTTTTCAAATATTTCTTTCCTGCTGGGACATTTATAATACTGATGTTGTCAATTTTGTTTCTCTATTACATTTCTCCTAAGCTTTATATATATATTTTTCTATCTATTGTTTTCTCACACCTGCAAGAGGATTCCTTGATCTGATATTTCAGTTCAAGAACTTGTTCAGTGTCTATTTTGTTCTTTAATGCCTATGTAAATTTATTTTTTCTAGCTTTTATAGTTCTTTTATTTCAAGCCAGGTTTATTGAGGTGTACTTTACTCACTGTAAAGTTTACCCTGTTAGTGTACAGCTTCTGACAAAGAATGCAGTTATGTAACTACCCCCACATTCAAAATACAAAACACTTCCATCAAATAGCATAGTTTCCTACTGTTCTTTTGTGGCATATCCCTCTCTCCAACTCAAGTGCTAGGCAACCACTGATCTTTTCTCTATATCTATATTTTTGCCTTTTCAAATGTCATATTAGCAGAATTATACAGTATGCAGTCTCTTCAGTCTGGCATTTTATATTTAGTACAAGACAATTCAGTTGATTAATTCATATTTTTGCATGTACTAATAGTTCATTTCTTATTATTGCTAAGTAGTATTCCATTGTGTGTTTCTACCATACGTTTACTATTCACCAGTTGATGGGCAATTGGGTTATTTCTAATTTGGGGGTTTTACTAATAGAGCTACTAAGCACATTTGCAAACCAGACTTTGCACAGTCATATTCTTTTGTTTCTTTTGGGAAAAAATCTAAAAATAAAATGGCTGGACCATTTTTTTCTTTTACAGTACTTCCATTTTCATATGTCCAATCAGTTTTACATGGAAACTCAAATTTATCTGGGCATATCAGCTATTTTGGCTGTGTGTGTGTCTGATACTTGGGGTGGAAGATACTAAAGCCTAGTTCCCAGGGTTTCTTCATTATGGGTTTCAGTGTGCGTGTGTGTGTGTGTGTGTGAGAGGGAGAGAGAGAGAGAGAGAGAGCAGGAGGTGTATGTGTCTCAGAATATAGAGGCTCCATAATATGAACAATTTCACACTTGCCACTTTCTCCCTACCTCAACGATGCTGTCCCTCCCCTTTATTTCCTCGCATCTCTGTTTATGGCCTTCTATACTCCTCTTTTCCAATAGCTGTCCCAGTTGTCATTACCAAAAAATAAATCAAGAAAGGGGTTATTAGAAGCTGAGTAGTTGTCCAAACCTGTAGTTAACTGTCCCTTCTTTTCTGTCATGCCGCAGTTGAAGGACCACACTGATGCCATGGATTCTCCTTTTTACCATCCTTAAATTTTACTCCCTTACACTAGCCCTTTGT